TGAAGGGTGCGATGTATTGGCATGACACCGACAGCAGCCGTAGGTGAGCAGGAGCTAAGATTGTTCTCTTAGCAGGGTAAAAAAAAATCACGAAAAAAGAATTTATTTGTTTTAAATTGAAATATCGTATTTAAAACACTGTTGCTATAAAACAGCAATTTTTTTAATCCCAAGGTGTATTTTCAAACGTGCCAGATTGATTGATCAATCAATACGATCACTGAAAAGAACGCGGTAGAAAAAATCTTGTAAATTTAAAGTAAAGTTTATTTAGCAACTTTTTATTGAGTGAACTCCGCCCTAGCAAAAGGAAAACATCTTTCATTCTTTTTACAAAGTGAAAAGGCTTTATTTGCGTGTATGTATATATTTTTTCGCGTTTTTATTTCTTTGCAATAGGGCCTTACTTTTCTAGTTTTTGTTCCTTTCGCGTTCTTATTGACTTGCAATATGACGTCACTTAACTGACAAACGAAGCGGAAGGTAGAAAGGAGGCTCAACGTTCCAATTTGCTCAGAAGACCACTGCATTCTGCTCCTGTTCAGGCCCATATAAACATTTCTTACTCAATGCTTCTTCGATTTCAAAAAAAAAAAAAAAAGAACATGGAAAGCATTAAGTCCTGGTCAAACGACAAATAAATATACCTTTTTTTTTTTTCGGGGGGAGAGGGGAGATTATATTTGTCGGAGAGGTTTTATGTAAATCATCATGGTAAAACTGGTACGATTTAGATCGGGATTTAAATCGTGAACTTAAATCACGATTTATATCATCTCGATTTTGATTCTCCACCCTGTCTCTCGGCCGTCTTAACCATTGTCCATTAGTCAAAATCAATGTAGTCACTGACACTAAATGCGATACAGAGTGTGTATAAAAAATAAAAATAAATAAAATGAGTTGAGACAAGGATTTGATTGCTATGTTTCGTAACCCGCTCGCCTACTTTCTCTCCTTAAAATAAGTCGAAGTTTATTTTCCAAGTAGAGTGTGCCATACAAGGCGGCTGAAAGTCAAGCGAAGATATTATCTAAGGTTTCCCTTTTTTGTTTTTCTTTAATTCAGTTCACCGAGTGTTTTATGTTCCGCTTAACTTCAAGTCCGTCCGCAGCCGAGGCTATGCGAAGTGCAAGTTCGTCCGCTTCTAGCGCACCTTACGAAAGTGTGGTGTAGTGACGTCCGAACGCCGAGCTCTTATTGGTTGAAGAAAAATAGTGGGTAGACCTCAAAGCAGCTAGCCTCGAGGTCTGCCTCCTCTCCTTTCAACCAAAGCCAATCAGAGCGCGGCGTCGTTCTGACGTCACCGCAAGAAGCAGACGAATTGTTCTCCGCATAGGATCCTCGGGACCCAATCAAGCAGCGCCAAGAGTGCATTGTTACGGCGTTCGTTTTCTTTGCAAGCGCTTTTTTTTTTCTATCACCAATAAACCCAATCACGCACTAAAAAACAAAGAAAGACAAAGGATTACAGCGTTTGTAATGTGCGTGATAGGTGGCTTCATCGATGATAGCGGACGGACAAAGACGACAAGCGCCGTGACGATGCACTTTTGGCCCACTGCTTGATTGGCTGCCGACGATCGCGTAGCCTCGGCTGAAGCTCGGACCTATAAGTGGAACTGAGTATAGCTGAGCTGGGTCCCCGCGTTTTCTATGGGTCATCGCGAACCCGGTTGAAACACAGCGACCATAGGAAAACAATGTCTACAAACTAAAGGGAGAAAAAAATTTAAAAAAAAAAAGACTTCCTGATCAATTTAAAGTCCCATCCCAGTTTTCTTTCTTTCTTTTTTTCTTCTAAACATTCGACAAAGAGAGAGAGAGGACGCCCGTCAATCGCGACACTTACGGGTGCACGTCCATGAAAGAACCAAGAGGACGAGGGTGTTTTTTGGAGGCAAGCCCAGCTCGTATGCAAAAGGCCCGGTCAGCCCGAACGGGCCAAGGCGAGCCTATCACTTTCCATCGCACAGTGCTGCGCGCCGCTCCACGGTGTCTCAGTCGGCTTCATATGACGCGACACCATAAACCAAGCCCGGGAAGGTTAATGGACGCATGAAAAATTGCGCTCCTCCTTACGCGCCACTGAAATATAATGCCGGGCAATTTTCAAAACGAGCAGCCCTGACCGTGGTCGAGAAATAAAAGTGATTTATGCCCTCGGACCTCCCCCTCTCCCAAAGTTACGAAGCACAAATTACGCTGAAACCATACGCACGACGCGGAAGGAGAAGCGAACAAAATGGGCAGAAAGAAAACAGGAAAAAAAAAAAAAGCGAGGTGGTGCTAGTGGTGCGAGGCATCGGAGTAAATATACGACACGTCCGTGAGGTAGATTCATCATTGCTGCGGCTTCTAGAGCAAAGTGGAGTAAGTATTCCTCTGTCATACATTTTAATTGTGTATTATCTCGGCGCGCTTGAGCGACGCGCCTACTGGAATGAAGAGGTGCCGTCTAAAAAACTCAACCCTCGTGGCCTTCGCTTATAAGTAAATAAAATAACCTCAAGAAGTATTGAAATGACTAGCCCCCGACATCTTCATCGCTTTTACATAAGCGTTTGATGTTTGAATAGATCAAACGGAGCAATGAGAAGTTACGCACTCGCTCATTCAGGTAGACATGAAAGCGGACGAAGCGCCGTCTTTCCATTTCTAGTATTCCCGAAGAAGAAAAAAAGGGCGGAAAAATGTATTTAAATCTGCTCTTTAATCTGCTCTTTTCTACATCCTTTATAAATGCTAGGAGGCCGTCCCTTCGTCACAGGCTCCCTCTCCTCCTTGTAGGGTGCGAGCGTTGTGCTCTGCTCCCTTATATACGGGCGAAGCAGAGTGACGTCCGGTATATCACCAAAATATAACTCCTCTTATTGCCACAATAGATTGTGGACAAAACAAAATTGAAAGAGCGAAAGTCGTGGTAAGCATCCGACAAATAGTTTAATATAAAATACTCCGAATTTTCTTTGGGATTTTTTTCCTTTTTTAAACGCAATTACGAGAGTCTCCAAAATGCCTTAAGCAAGTCTCGTTGTCATCACCTTCACGAGAGTGACTTTTCAAATGTCGAGGTTGGCTGCCTCGGGCTACTGCTTGAATGTTCGGCTGGCGATTCCAAGCGTTCTTTTGACCTTAGTTAATAGTCTGGTAGAGCGCAGAAAGCTTGATTAGTGGGTGTGCATCTAACTTTTTTTTCTTTTCTAGACCTAGGCAATTAAGCCTCGTTTTTTTTTATTTACTTTAAATTGAGTAGCCTAACTCTTATTTTAGGTGATCAGAAGGGTTGCCGAAAAATTACACGAGCACACTGAAGACTGCTTACGTGAAGGAAGGCGAAAAAAGCCAGTCAAGGACTATGTCTAGGACGACTTCTGGGACGACCTTAAGGACGACGTCTAGGACGACGTCGAAAACGATGCCTAGAGGAAGACGTCTAGGAAGACGTCGATAACGACGCCTAAAGGAGGACACTTAGGGAGGCTGTGGCGTATTTGCGTGGGCGGCCACGTTTGCCTGCGGAAGCCGCCGTATATGAAGACGCTGCTGCCGATGTCGAGGCCATAGATGTTGGTTGCGGTCACCTCACAGTCCATCGCACAAAGCACACAACGAGCAGAAATGAAGTGAGAAGGGCACCTTTTGCACACGGCGCTCCGGATGTGATATCACGCTGATGACGTATGATGACGCTTGATGGCATCACACTGATGCCGTTTGGTGACGTATTTCTATGGCCATCACAACGCCGACTACGCCGCTTGTTTTTCACGTACTGTCACAAGTGAGGTCGTCCTAGAGGTCTAAGACAACTTCTAGGACGACCGCAAGGACGACGCCAAGGACACCTTGAGCATACGATTGAGTGGCGCGTGCCGCGCAATCGCGTTTTTATGGCCATTTACTTCGATTTTTCTCTCAATGGGACAAGTAATGCTTTCGCCTTAAAAATACCACAGTAATGCGGTAATTTAATGCCAAGCAGAAGTGATGTATACAATTCCCACGGGATGCGGGTTATCGCACGCTGGTCAAAGGGACTTTCGTGCATAACAATGAAGATAACTTAAAAAGGATGGTAAAGAAGCCGATTCGAATCACCAGCGTTAGACGCGGAGGTACGGCCTCTGAAGGGGGGCCCTGGGCTTCACAGGAGGGGGGCCCTGTTGTGAAGTCTCCTCTTTTGTTCGCTGAAATGTTCCACCCTTCTGTTTGTGGGGCGTTTCACTGTGTATAGAGAAGACTATCGTAAAAATAAAACTGCAGCTGGGTTTTAATATTTTCTTGCGGTTGTACTCTTTTCCTTTTCCCTAGTCTCGTGATTTTTTTCAACAAAACACACTTTCCTCTTGTTTTTTTTTTTTTTTTCTTTTTTTCTACGGGAGTCTTTTAGTACCCCCCCCCCCCACCCCCCAACGTGAAAACGCGGTAACTCTGTCGCCGTGTTTTCAAACGTGTTCGCATGTTTTAGGAACTCAACTCTTTGTTTTTATCAAATAGCAAAGAGCTGCTATCGATGTTGTTGCACGCGACTTGTGAGATGAGAGTGCTATGAAGCGCCATGATAGAAGAAAGGAAACGCATTCTTAGTACTTCGTGGTAATTGTTGTTTCGTTGTTGTTGAAACTACGCCTTTTATGCACGTAGACAGTAACTGAAAATGTGTTATTACATATTTTCCTATAATCAACGGTAACTAGCACTTTTCGCTATCTCAGAATTTTTAGAAAACAAACTGAGTTTATGGTCTGAGCTCGGATTTCCCCAGATTACTCAGAAGAATCAGTGGACAGTTTTCGAGTGTACGGAGGCAGCACAGACTTCACACTCGTTAAATGGCTACCTTCTTACGAGACTGACAGTTACACGGCAGCTTGCTGCGATGATTACACTCATGAAGTCATTTCCAATTTCCGTACATTATGCATCCCTCCCTCACAAAAAAAAAAAAAAAAAAAAAAAAAAAAAAAAAAAAAAAAACCTTATGAATGAGTACGTACGTGCGTAATGTGACCAAGTCCCTCGGGGAAGTCACTGGGACTGTTGGGGTCCTTGGGGTAGAGTGACGTCGGCGTGCGATCACCGTGGCGATACACCTGGGAAGAAAAATAGTTACTTGCACTCACTCAATCACTTTATCGCCCCCCCCCCCCCCTTTTCACATCGCTTTCAACTTCCTCAAACCATGACGGATACGAAGTACAGCGCTCCAGCAACGAACAGCCGTCAAACAATTGGACAAATAAAAAACCGCTGACAACTTTTATTTATATATATATATATATATATATATATATATATAGTAACAAAAACTAAACAGCGAGAGATTTCTCATGCGAAGTAATCTGAATTGTAAAGAAAGCTGCTCGAAGAGACGTACTGCGTTACTGAGACCTGGAACAAGGTTTAGCGAGAGCGAGCGGTGAGGAAATTCGAGGAAAGCCGTCTCCGAGCCTAGCGGGGGAAGAAGAGGCTGTCCAGGCGCCGATGTGATGGACTCACGACTCGCGCGTGTTGGGAGCCACAATAGACGCGACCCGAGCACGCACCGTCGGAAGCCGCCGCCAACGTGGCCGCAATGGCACGAGGCGGCGGCGGCGACAAAGACCAGGCGCGGCCCGACGAACGCGCGAAGCACAGCCGCCTTTCAACGTGCTGAACGCGTGATATACGAGCGCGGGGCGCTGGGGCGGCCAGCGCTCGCGGTGGGGCTTCGTGAATCAGGCCATCCCGCAAGGTGGACTACCGCCACTATTTTATAGGCTCATGCATAACATCGCGCAAAATTCTCCCCCCGCGGGAAAGACGGACAGCTAGCTCGTCGATCCGCTGTACACGAGAACGATCGAGCACAACGCGCTGGGAGGTGTCATCCCAGGTCCGTGAAGTGTTTTACCTCCGCGCGTTTTCCTTTTCCTTCTGCTTATTTGTTTTTGCCCACCTATGCGGGCACTCAGTTCTGTGGAGCGTTGCTTGCCAGGATTGCTCGAAGCGACGCGTCGGTACGCTTTGTTCTAGCTGCGTTTCCGACGTATTCGGTTGAGCAATCAAGCGACTAGAAGGTACGGTTTTTTGTTTTGGTTTTATTGTTTTTTTTTCCTCTGCGTCGTGAGTGCAACCTGTAGCGGCTTATGCGGCGTGATTCACGCGGCGCGGGATTGAGCGTAATTAAGAGTGACGGCTCTGAACGAGGCACGGGGTCACACAAAACAAGCTTTCGGGAACCGTGTTCGAAGCTACAGCGCATTAAGCTTACCGCGTCCCAGAACAGAAGAACACACACATAAAAAAAAAAAAGGCACGCTGGAAAGCTGAGTTGTTTGTCCCGCCCGACATAAAGCTTGGCCGTGAACGTGATTCGGGATTGTCCCGAAGTGTCTTCTCGGCTTACCTGCATCGTGCAACTCTCAGGTAACGGGTTGAAATTTCGGGAGAATAGCTCTCGCAATATTGAAGTGCGATTTGGAGGCGTAGGACAGACAGTACATTTGTTTTATTGATTCTACCGCAGCTCAAACATAAATTGTAAGGGAACACTGTTTGTTTTTTTTTTTTTTGTTTTTTTTTTCAATCAAATATACCATTGAGTAACAAAAGCACCATAAACGCGTCGCATATTTCAACAGCCAAATTTATCTACGGAGCAACGGTGCAAAACATTGCAGAGTTCGAGAATTGCAACACATATGTGTCCGGAATAGAAATTTCGATTTGAAGCAGGCAGTTTGCAAAAGAATAGAGAAACATACGATGAACGGAAACAATCGCTGCGAATAAGTGAGAATAACAAACATCTATCCACCAAAATAAATAGCGCAAAACACGACATAAAAACCAACATGCTGTCGCAGTGTCATACACCGGATGTTTCTCTCGCTCGAGAGAGTGCAAGAACCAAATTCTAAAACCTTGCGCTGCTTACTGAATCAACGTCCGCTTCAAGGATTGGTTTCTCCATGCAGCAATGCAATCAAACTAACTGACCTGTTTTTCCTATTCATCACACACATTGCAAGGGAGAAACGCCTCCAGTACTACAGTACGCGAGAGCGACATCAAGCTCATCAAATATTCACATTTGCCAAGGTGCCCTAACAGCGCAATTAAGCGCCCGCGACCAAGCAGGTGTACTGAAGGCAAGGTCGTCTAACTTACGACGTGCAGTTGACGTAGGCTGCTGGATTCGGCGCACTGCTCGATGCTGCGGGAAGCCACACCGGCCACCAAGACCGAAAACCACGCGAGCCACAGCTTCATGGCAGTGATGATGGGGAACGAATAAGCCAGCTCGGGCGCGCTGTCGCAGCTTTTGAAGGACTCGCGCCTCAAGGCCACCGTGATAGCAGCCGATGCGCCCAGCCACTGGCGAGGCTCGTCCGCGAGTGCACGGCCGGCATCCGCCAATCCCGTTCGCGAGGTCTCGCATACTCCCCGGTTAGTGGCACATGAAGGACCCTAATCGCCGGGCCGAATCCCCCAGATTAGGGCCCAGTGTGGAGAGCAGAGAGGTCTCCAGTTGCCTAAAGCCGCAAACGCGACCGACCATGACTGGCAGCTATAAGAGTCTCACATGGCCAATTAAGTCTCGCTTTAAACTAGTACTCATGGCAAGGTCAAACGAGCAGAGCGACAGCTGGCATGAAAACATGTTTTTTTGTTTCAAACGCAACGCGCTAATGTTTCGTTGGTTTTTTTTTTTTTTTTTTTCTTTCCTTGTATTTGTTTTTTCTCTCTCCGATAATAAACGTGGGAAGGCTGCGTATACGTCGTGCGTCAATGCTTTATTTCTTTACAAATAAATAAATAAATATATCGGGTAGGCGTCTAAAGCAAATTTCTTCAAATATGTACTTCGATATGGCTCGTTCTTGAACGAATCACAAAGTACGGTATTGCCTAAATTAATACCGTTACATTATTTTTAACATTACGAAGAACTTCAGAAGTTAAGCTCGAGACTACGCACGAAGCTCCACCGCCCGTACAAAGCAGAGAAATTGAAAAACTGCCACGCCACTGTCAAATATGTGCACAAATAACGTTGATAAATGTCTTTTTATCGACACAAAAAAAAAAAGATTTTTTTTTTGTGTCGATTACAAAATATATGCCTAGATCTGAACTTAAAAAAAAAAAAAAAAAAAAAAAAAAACGAAACAGGTTGCGACAAATTTGACCCCGAGTTATCCTTTTAATAGTGTGACTTTTTGTTAAGCATGTCGTTTTTACTTAGCGGTCGCTGAAATATTCGAGACGAGGTAGAGGAATGCAAAACACTGGGCAAATGACTGTAGCACGACGTGAACAACTTTACCGAGACGCGTAGGGTGCTGCGGCCCGATGCGCCTGACAACACGTCACAATGATCGCGGTCACTCATCAACAGCAAAAACCAGATCGTTATGAGACAAGCAGAGATTCCAGGAGAATCTCCAAGTAACTGGAGCTATCCGTCATTCACCGATGAGTTCCGAATATCTGTCAGCTCAACCATGTCAAATTATCTACTGCGTAACATTCCCTTTCGCGTAGGTAAGATCATTTTCGCGTTTCGAGCATTGTGCCTCTCGCCATATTCCAACTCATGTAACTCCGATTTGGCATAGCCTTATTTGTCGCACAAATATCTACTGCGTGACACCATGGGGACTTGTGATCCAGTGATCCAATGATGAATGCCGTTCTTTTCAGCCAGCCTAAAAACACAAAATTCTACCGTCACTCGAGTACCTAGTGGTTTCTTTTCAATCTCGCAAAAATATTGCATTTTCCCTAACGGTGTGATAGCGTCATTGAGCAATCCGACCGGGGCTCAAGGCGGCCACTTTCTGCACTTTTTTTATAACCCCTGTGTTCCTGACTGATACTGTCTTCAAAAGTCCTGTGACACACTAGCTACCAAGAAGAATAAAGCAGGTACGGCAGATTCCAGAGGTTTGTCGTCGAATCCTCTCTTCGACGTGACATTAGCGTTACACAATTCAGCTGGAATGGATGTTCGCTCACATCACTTACCCGGGAATCTCTCGATCAGACGAAGTATGGTGTTTAGCTATTTTTCTGGCTGATATGTCAGCGAGAACAATAGCTAAAGGGGAGGGGGGGGGGGGGGGCATTAGGAATGTTATTGCTAGCTCAGAACGCGATTGCTCTATTTAAGTTGTCCTGAGAAAAACACCGACAAACGCAAACAAACAACTGTTTTTTTTTGTTGTTTTTTACAATTAAAAGATTGTGATTTAAACAATAGTCAGTGATAGCTTAGGATTTCAGGGGAAGCACCTCCCACCTCCTTTTATTTTAGCAGAGCGAACGCTGGAGAGGAGGTTACTGTAGTAGTGCGGTGGAATGTTATAAAATTTGGGTGACATCATTTGATTTCCCCCAACTAGTGAAAAATCGCCGATGTCGTGTTTGCACTAACTATGTTGCGCAGTGTGTACCGCCTTGTTGCTATGAGACACGTAGACCTGTACCTCAACGAAATACTTTATCGTCTATATGTTGCTGTTCTTGTGGTGCTCTAACCTAAACAGCTGTCATTTAGAATTGGCCGTTGCACTGTGTCTGTCACGTCCTAGTGTGCACTGTCTTTCCCTTGATTTCTATCTCCGCTTCCTAAGGTTCCCTTCCCAGTTGCCCTTCTGATACCCCATTCACACGATGATAAAGATTCCTTTCGCCAAAGGACTTTTATGGTCGGCGGCGAATCATTTCACGATCCACCGCGCGCGGCATCTGCTCATGACCCAAAAACGCAGGCTGATTCGCCGATTGCAAAGGAACCTACGTTAAAAGGTACCATTTTTATGCTGGCCGTGTGAATGGAGTATTGGTCCCTGCTCTAATTTCTTATGACAGTAAGCGGCTAATTTTATTGACGACGGGTCGAAAATTTGCGAACGAAAGGTACTGACACGATCTTTCGCGCTGATATTTATAAGAGACCATAGACCAGCTCGCACAAATAAATGCCTTCTAATGCCAGTAACCGGAACAAGAGGCCCGACCTCCTCCCTCTTCATGGCACATATGCCGTCAAGTAGTCTCACAAAACTTGATTACAAAAAGTAAACACGCGTGAGCGGAAATCATGCATCCTCTAACTAACATTTTATTTAATCCGTCTACCATTCATCAGACAGACACATTCGGAGATTGAAAACCACAGACAACAGTGCTTAACGGTCAATAGAGAGATCTTCGCTGCATCGCTCGAAGATTGTGCTACGCCCAACCCTCCCTCTGAATCTATACTAGTATGCAGTCCGTACCTCTGCTTGTAATGCGGTGAGAGTTACGAACGCGGGCGTCTAGCCTCGTAGGTACCTCAGCCCCGTGGCAGCGAATGTATTTCATGAAATCAGAGATGGCAAATTACTTTCAAAAGTAATTAAATTACATTACAAATTACTTTTCTGAAAACTGCACGAATGTAATTAAATTACATTACAAATTACCGCAGAATAAATGTAATGACATTACACTACAATTACTCTTCAGAAGTAATAAAATTACTTTGAAATTACTTTGAAATTACTTTTGAAGACCTTGAGGCAGTAATTCGTGCTTATTTTATTTACCGTATACACCAACACACTCTTTACAAAACAAGCCCTCGTTTGCCCCCACAGCCCGTGTGCAGGAACCAGATCCGGGAGAAACGAGGCGCCGCGCATGCGCACTGACTACAGCAGCGCCACCGCAGGGATAGGACGTCAGAGAGCTGAGTTGGTTTGTATATACCAAAACTCAGATCTTCCTGTTTACACCGCAATAACCTTATGTGCCTCAAAGTGAACCATACTGAACAGTGGTCTCGCTGGCACACACGACATCATGATGAATAGCTTTTTTAGATGATTTAGAGACACAGTCCACTCACCGGTTTCGCTGTTCATTCAACGGTGAAAGTTCTTACTAAAAGGGTGATATGTTGCCGTCTTCCTGATTTAGAAGTTGTATCCGAGCCAGTTTTTTTTTTTTTTTTTTTTTTTTATGTCGGGCAATGACCGCTCGTTTTTGTCGTCATGTGAAACGCTTCCCTTCCGCCTCGGACACAATCTCATTCTATTCTCCCAAGAGCCTATTCTCGGTCATTCCTTGTCACAGAAAGGGCCTGGATAATTGCTAAGCAGAAGTGTCGCCAGTTTAGGAATGGCGCGAGCTTCCTAAATTGTGTACTTTCCCAACAAACGGGGGGCGATATCTGTCTGTAGGCTTATTCCCGAATAAACTTCCCAAGGGAAGGCAGCGAGACATACCACGAGCGGCACCTGCTTTGCTCGACGAGGCACAAAACGTTCTGGGGCTTTGACAAGGCATTTGAAATTACCTATTTTTTCCGGTCGTTTGTTGTTCACAATGGTCGAAGCTTACGGTTTTACCTTGCTTGACGAAAGTACAAGGCTGGGAATCTGTTTGTCCTGTCCTCTCAGGTTTCAAATTAAGTTTAGCTCACTGGTGATGTGCCCGTCGCCTTGTAGCCTATGAGCCGTTCACCTCTAAGCTAACACACTGTCAGCTTAAGGATGAACGGTGGAAGCTACGTGTTTGTTGAAGCAGTCACAGGTCTATCGTTCGCCACGTAACTATGCTCTCGTTCATAACCACGCACAGAGAAAAGGCCAGGTAATTAAAGGAAGGTGCTTAATTAGTTTTGGTTAGCTTGCAGCTCCCACCGCACTGTTAGCTTAGGAATAAATGAAGTATAGTATCGTCCTGATGACGCAGCGCCTTGAATCTGTCATGCCTGGAGTTCGTAAGCCGTCGCCTTCCAGCGATGTCTACACGTAAGCTTTTCTTCTTCGCCTTTCCAGCCCTCCTTTGTGCGTCTGTCCAGCTCTTCGTACAAGGCTTCGCGCTCAGGTGGCCGTCGCTTATTTCCTCCGATGCTCTTTCACAACATTTCAACATGCAAAATAATTTTCTCTTCTTTTTAAAGCCTGCAAACGATCTTTTTAATTTAGGACAAAAGTAATTTTAAAAGTAGTGAGTTAATTTTCTCGAAATTACTGCCTCAAAGTAATTCAGTACCATTACTAAATTACTAGCCTATAAAAGTAATTCATTACATTACTCATTACTCCACAAAGTAATTTAATTACTGTAATTCCATTACAGTAATGTCATTACTGCCATCTCTGGTTGAAATTACGAGCTCGCGTCTGCTGCGTTTGTTTCACATCAAACTTTTCGCTGGGCCAGCAGCCTCACTACAAAACAAAAAGGGTGCCCCCATTCGGGCATTTCATAACCGTTTACCTAAATGCCATTCGAGC